CCCCAGCCCTATCAAGTTTTTTTTTTTTAACACACAGTAAAGGTAACTAAGACAGTGAATCTGAGTATATCAACCCAAAATGGTTGTGTTATTTTCAAGAATATATAACTTACTTTGCTAACAAAAGAGCAAGACCTTGGACCAAGACTTGAGTGATATTGTCATGCCTCTTCATAATAAAATCAGCTTTAATTGTCACTTGATGATGAATAAAATAAATTCTTAGGTACTAGGAGATAGTTCCGTCTAGGCAAGGATGAGGGCTTGAATTTGATCCCCAACACTAACATAAAAAGCTGGGTATGGTGGTGTGCGATTATAATCCCAGCACCAGGGAGGCAGAGACAGCTGAATCCCTGGGGCTCAATGGCCAGCAAGGCTAGCCTAATCAGTGAGCCTCAGGCCTGAATGCCTGACCCTCTCTCCAAAAACAAACAAATGTGAATCTCTCCTGAAGAATGAAACCCGAGGTTGGCATGCATGGTCATGGGTACATATGTGTGCATGTGCCAGTACAAACACGTACACACAGACATCAGATTGAAATGAAATTGTTGTTCTAGGGACCAGTGACATTAAAGGATGTCATTGTGGAATTCACCAAGTCAGAATGGAAGTTGCTGACACCTGCTCAGAAGACCCTTTACAAAGATGTGATGCTGAAGAACTACAGTCACTTGGTCTCAGTAGGTAAGGAAAATTGCCCCATATGTAACTCCCAGTAGTTTCTGTTTCTTTTCCCAACAGTTGGAACATGTAAACTTTCTGTAAGGTTGAATGATATTGACTTTGTTTTACAAGTCAATCTGTTTGGGATACCAGGAAAAATATTCGTGTCCTCATTTTAAGAATAAATTTGTCAAGTGCAAGTGGAACCTTCACTGTTTTGAGTCCCTGCATTCTAAGCAATTTGTTTCATTTCCTTTATCTTTCACGTGGATAGGTTATCGTGGGGCAAAGTCAAATGTGGTTTTGAAACTGAAGCAGGGAAAAGAGCCATGGGTATTAGAAGTAGAAATTCCACGTCAGAGCCATGTTGGTGAGTCAGAAACATTTCTATTGCATGTTATGAAAGATTTTTTTCAAGAATGCCATTTGAACTAGTTTTCTAGACGTCTCTGAATTCTCTGTGGTTCTAGAAATGATTAAAGATTCTTGATCTACTTATGTTTGAAACCTAAATCACACCAATTTTATTCTTTCTGCTTAAGTTACTGTGTCATTAGGCATTCTTAAACTAGGTTTATCTCTCTTTCTTAGATGGAAAATGTCTCCATCTAATCTTATCTCAGAATTTTACCTTTTTCTTTAAAATTTCCAATCAATTACTCGCTACCATTGGAGGATGCAACTTTAATCTCTTCGGGTTTTTTTGTTTGTTTGTTTTGTTTTTTGTTTTTGACTTTTTCACACAGGGTCATCCCTATAGCCCCCGCTGGCCTGGAACTTACAGTGTAGACCAGGCTGGCCTCAAACTCACAGAAATCTGCCTGCCTCTTCCTCCCAAGTGCTGGGATTAAAGGCATATGCCACAACGCCCAACACAACTATAATCTTAAAGTATATCCGATTTAGAAATATTTTCCCAGGATCTCTCCCTGCACTTTATTTGGAGAATGATAACACTAAGGTAATCATACCCTACTTCCATTAATGTTTTTATGTATCTTCTGACTTGTGTGCTGACGCACAATGCTTGATATAATATATATTACTTGTTTACTAGATAGTTATTGAAGGAATGAATTTTTAATAACAAGAGATACTGCCTACCTCTGCTCTAAGATCTTTACAGCAATACTGTAACGTCTTACCCCCTTTTAAAAAATAAACCGTGAGGCCAGGCATGGTGGCGCCTTCCGTTAACCCCAGCACTTGGGAGGCCAAGAGACAGGTGGATCTCTGTGAGTTTGAGGCCAGCTTGGTCCACATAGTGAGTTCCAGGCCAGCTGGAGCTACAGGGAGACCCTGTCTCAAAAGGACAAAAACTGAAAAACAAACAAAAACAAACAAAAAACTTAAACCGTGAATTTTTATGCTGAGAACTCTTCAAACTGACCTCTTTGGTATCTTTGCTCTATTTATATTCTGGCATCATATTTTACCTTTTCATTCCTTTTTTTCTTAGGGAAAAGATTGAGACAGGCTTCATGTTGACCTCCAATACACCACCATGCTAACAAAAATGTTTTTCCTTTTAATTGCTAAATATTTGTATAATCCAGCATAGTTATATTGTCTCTATCCCATCATGGTAAACTAACACTGACTCACGATATACATTTAATTTTCTATCAAGAACAAATCTGACACTCTCTTTTGTACTACAGTTCATTTCTCTTTATAGTCCCCCAAATACATATTAATCTCCATTTTGTCATTCACTTATGTGTCTTACTTAGGCAGGAACTTATTCTGTGTATATCCAAGTTAATGCTGCACAAGTCTCCATGAATACCATGGAATTCCAACCCCAAACTTCTGTTTAAATATTAAATATGCACTTACATATGAGTAACTATAAAGATCTAAAGGTTCTTGAATGATGTGATTGGTTGGCTGGTTGGTTGGTTGGTGGTGTGAGACAGGGCCTTGCCATGTAGCTCAGGCTTGCCTGGTACTTACTACCAGACTGGTCTTGAACTCGTAGCAATTCCCAGTGCTAGTACAGGTGTACCACCTGACTTGGCTTTTAGAATTTTGTTAAATCTAATTTTTAAGGATCACATAGTAAATTGGAAGCATCAGATAAGAAATAAAAGAATTCAAGATGTTGAATTTTGAGTAATGGTGCTTTGGAAATGCAGGATTTGATAGTCAGGATACGTTCATGAATGGAAACAGATAGCTTGCTTTCCTTACTTTTGAGTGTATGTGTCCCTAGATCTTCTTGCTCTAATGAAAATTCAGTCAGTTAAATGAGAGTGAACACCTAAGCAAAATTATTTACACACGAGGAAATTGATGTTCTGAGAAATTCACTTTACTGTTGATGTCTAGATTTCTCTAGATGGAATACAAAGTCAAGTACAAGTTTGTTGTCTGCTAGCTACAGTAACCCTTGCCACAGATCAACTGTTGAAGGGCCGAGGTACTTATGTTCAACTATCCTTATTTTACTTATTAACAATTTCAAAGCATAATCCTGGAGATTCAGATATGACAAAGTGAAATATTAAAGAGCTTCCTTTAACTAATGAGGTGAAAATTTCTCATAGTAGTTATATCTAGGAAGGAAAAACCATGGGTCATATAGTTAAGTACTATCTGTGGTTTTAGGCATTCACTGGAGGTCTTGTACTAGAAACACAAAAACCCATTAACTCTGTTTGAAGGTATGGTATGAAAACCTATACATTATTCCATTAGTTCCTTCATCCAATTTGTCTTTTCCCCTGATAATTCCTATAGACACAGTTGCCCACTATTTTTTTAACCCAACTTACTCTTCACTGTCTTTACTGAGATAAGAGCAGTCTCTGAATTCCGCTCTCTTTTTTTTTCAAATACTTTGTTATTTTTATTTTATGTGTATGAGTGTATTGCCTGCATGTGTGTAAGTGCATCCGTGTTGTGCAATGCCCGTGGAGGTCAGAAGAAGGTGTCAGATTCCCCTGGAACTGGAGTTACGGATGGTTGTTAGCCACCATGTGGATGTGGGTGCTGGGAATTGAACCTGGGTACTCTGCAAGAGCAGTCAGTGCTCTAAACTGCTGAGCCATCTCTCCAGCCCCAAATTCCACATTCTTGCTCCGCAATTTATTTTGTTCTCTGATCCATGTTCTTTGATTTTGTTTCAACTTTCACCTCCAGGTTTCTAAAGATTATTAATAGGGGTATCAGAGCTGCTTGGGGTATAATCAAGTTCCTTTCACTACCTGCTGTGTAGGTTTCAGCCTTTATAGATTTCTGGTTTTTTTATATAAGAATGATGTCATTTCTGTAGTTTCATTTCAGTTGCTCTGACAAAACACCCTGACAAAAGCAACTCTAGGGAGAAAGGGTCTACATGGCTTACAGTTCCAGGTTCTAGTCCATCATGGTGGGGAAGTCGAGGCAGGAACTTGAAGCAGCTGGTCATATCCACAGTCAAGAACAAGGAGAGAATGAATGCATGCATGCCCACTCAGCTCACTTTCTCTGCTCTTAGACAATTAAAGACCTAAACCCAGGGAATGATGCTGTTCACTTTTAGGCTGAGTCATCACACATCAATTAACATAATCAAGGCAATACTCCACAGGCATGCCCACAAGTTACCTTGATCTTGACAATCTCTCACTGAGACTCTTCTGAGACTTTTCTTAGATTGTGTTAACAATTGAAACTAACCATCACAAGAGGTATAGAGAGTGCTCTCATTTTGCAGAATGGGCTAAATAAAGCCTAAGAATCAACCTTTAACCACAATAATGCATTAAAATCTTACTTCCCTTTTATAGAAGATCTATGGAATATTCATGACCATGAAGCCAGAGACCAGGAAAGCCAAGATGGAAATTCAAGGCAAGTCCAAGTATTAATATTAGGATGGAAGATTAATAAGAAAGAAAAGTCTTGATTGGAATACTGGGAGTGGGGGACCAATTGTTAATATTAAATGTGATAAAACTGGCATTGGAATGAATCTCAAAGAATATAACCCAAATAGGAACGCTCTTCTTTCTGAGAGACCTTATTTAGGATCAAGAGATTGAAACTTTGTAGTTATCTTTTTATCCTTCTGAATTATGCACTAAACTGGCCTACATTATAGAAAATGTGGTCTGGCAGTTGAGAATTCCTGAGACTATAATGCAGGGGAAACCTCATTCTATCCAATGTTAAATCACAGTGTAAATCAATGTTCTCAGTAGAGAAACTGTATGAAGCTAACAAGCATAGGAATATCTCTGATGTTGTCTATCAAAGTTACTCAGAGAGGACATAGCACCAAAAAAGCGTTAAAAGGCCTAGGCATTAATGAATTTGGAACTGTCTCTCTAGGAAAGAAGAAGTCACAAAACGTCGGAAAACTTATATCCAACAGGAAAGCTATGATTGTAATGAATGTGGAAAGTCCTTCTGCCAGAAGTCTTCCCTCATAACACACCAGCGCACACATACTGAGAAGGCTTTTGAATGTGAGAAGTGTGGAGAATCATTCTATAAAAATGAAGACCTAACAGCACATCAGAAAATTCACACCAGAGATAAAACCTACGCATGCAAAGAATGTAACAAAATTTTCTACCACCTCTCCTCTCTCAGTAGACATTTGAGAACCCATGCAGGGGAGAAACCCTATGAATGTAATCAGTGTGAGAAATCATTCTACCAGAAGCCACACCTCATGGAACATCAGAAAACACACACAGGGGAAAA